ATAGAGGAAGCTGTTAAAAATGGAATCAGGAAAACAGGCATATGTGCAATAACTTAGGATTCCTTTCAATTTTCTAGGGTTTAATGCATCTTCAGGGGAAGCCTGTGTGCTCCTTTGATCCAGAAGGGTTGATTTTTGCTGCGGGAGTCAATTCTGAAATGGTAAAGCTTTATGATCTTCGTTCTTTTGACAAGGTAAGCATCACACTGGATATGTTTCTGACACTTTTTACTAGTATCTGTACTCTGACTTTGGGGGGAGTCTGGCTTTCCTTACAAAAAATGATAGGATATGCTGCAACCAGTATCATGGAGAAAATCATGCCGTACGAAGAGAATTTGTGTAAGAGACCTATATGCATTAGGTAGCTGAGATCAGTGCTGCTACCAGATGCTTAAATTGCATTTTTGACAGGTAGATCTTCAGTTCATTTTGATTAACTTGGAGATAAAGATTTATTGAACTGCAGATGAACCACTTACAAAATGTATTTGTCCCACATATCACCCCATAGCCGACAATAATGAAAGGCAGAAGTGATTTTTAAAAAATCCCAATGAGTAAATTAATTAGCCAGATCTAGGGTTAGTGCCTCATGAGCAGGGATCTGGGCTTTCCATTTCATAGAATCATAGAAGTAGGGTCGGAAGGGACCTTGTAGATCTTCAAGTCTGACCCCCTGCCTGGGCAGGAGGAAAACTGGACTCAAATGACCCCAGCCAGGTAGGCATCGAGCCGCTTTTTAAAGACCCCCAGGGTAGGAGCCAGCACCATTTCCCTTGGAAGTTGGTTCCAGATCCTAGCCGCCCTGTGAAGTAGTTCTTACGGATGTCTAATCTAAACCTACTCTCCAACAACTTGTGGCCGTTATTCCTTGTAATCCCGGAGGGCGCTAGGGGAAACAAGTTCTCCCCCAAACCCTTCTGGTCCCCCCTAGTGAGTTTATAGATGGTCACAAGGTCCCCCCTCAGCCTTCTCTTGTGAAGGCTGAACAGGTTCAGGTCCCGTAGCCTCTCATTGTATGGTCTGCCCTGCTGTCCCCGGATCATGCGAGTGGCCCTCGTCTGGACCCTCTCAATGTTGTCCACATCCTTCTTGAAGCGGGGTGCCCAGAACTGGACACAGTACTCCAGCTGTGGCCTGACCAGTGTCACGTAGAGGGGGAGGATCCCCTCCTTGGCCCTACTTGAGATGCACCCGTGGATGCACGAAAGGGTCCAGTTAGCCCTGCCGACAGTGACCTCGCATTGTCGGCCCATGTTCGTCTTGGAGTCATCATTGACTCCAAGATGGCCCTTTCTGCCTCCATGCTCTCAAGAAGGGAGCTTCCCATCTTACAAGTGTGCTGCTGGTTACTACTGCCCAAGTGCAGCACCCTGCACTTGTCCGTATTGAAACGCATCCTGTTTTTGTTAGCCCACCCTTGCAACCTATCCAGGTCTTTCTGCAGTCTTTCCCTCCCTACAAGCGTGCCCACCTCACCCCAAATTTTGGTATCATCAGCAAATTTGAATTTGCTGCAGAAAAATGCGGATTTTTTTCCTTTAATGGGGAAAAATGCCGGAAACTGTAGGTTTTCCCCTTGTAGGCTGGCAGTGTTCCAGCCTGCAAGGGGCTTCTTCGGGGGAGGGCTGGGGAGAGTGGGACATGGTGGTGCCATGGTGGCAGCCAGACACAACAGTGGAGAGCAGCTCCTGTAGCTCCCTCCAGGTAAGTCTGTTGCAGTAGGAGAGGGGGAGAAGGCACAGGCTATGAGGCAGGGGGCCAAGGGGACACCATTGGGGGGGGGGGGGGGGGCCCCCCCCCCCCCCCCCAAGATTTCTGTGCCCGGAGTTGGGAACGGGATTGCAGCAGGGCCAGACCAGCTCTGGGCAGCAGCTGTCTCTGTGGCCTAGCGGGCAGAACTGTCCCTAGGAATGTGTGGGGCCTGGAGCATATCAGCATGTGCCAGGGGGTGGGGGGGCGAGTGTCTGGAGCACGAAGTTGGCAGCAGCTAGCAGGGCCTGTACAGCACTGTCCACAGAGACCCCCAAAGCTCAGGGCCCGGGGTAGAAACCCTGATTTGGTGCCCCCCCCTCCTCTCCTCCACCTCCCGGGATGGTACTGCCAGCAGGAGGGAGCACCATGCAGCCTTGGCCAAGGTGAGGTGCCCCCTGCCTGCCCAGCAGCCACAGGGGCACAACTGTGCCACTGGTGCCATGCCTCACTTTGGCGGCCATGGTGGCTTAGTGCTTCCTCCTGTGCTGAGTCCCACCCACTGTTGCACAGAGGTGGTTGCTGCCCAAAGCTGGTCTGGCCCCACTGCGGCCCTGCATTGTGCTGTGAGCACAAAAATTCTCCCTCTTCCCCCCTCATTGCTTATGCCCCGTTCCCCATGTGTCGCTTGTGTACACACACCCAATCCCTTTCTCACATACTGGGGGTGGGGTCTGTGGGTGAGGAGTGAAGGGCACCAGCAGGGCCAGGGAGGACCTTGTGTTGAGTGTGAGGAGCACTGGCAGGGCCAGGGGCCTGTGGGTCAGGAGTGAGGGGCAGTAGTAGTCTTTGTTCCCCTGCTTTATCTGTGGCAGGTCAGGGTGCTTTTGGTGTCTTTAGGCAATATGCCTTGTAGTTGTGCAGTAGGATTGATTGTGTAGTTTTAGAAACAGATTTGGCAAGGACTTACATGGGATGGTTTGCGTATAGGTGACCCTGCGTTGAGTATGGGGTTGGACTAGACCAATGGAAGTCTTTCCAAGTCCTGCTTTACGTGATTCTATTTTCTGTGTTTTTTGAAGCCACAAGTTTCCCTAGCATTCTCTTGTAGCTTGCTTGCCTTGGGAACCAGAGTTCTGGTACCTCAGGACACTGGTGCACCACTGTATGCTGCTACACTCTTCTTCAATCCTTTGCTAGCCAGTGCCAGATTATTTGATACCAGTCTGATCCAATTCCTTTAAGTACTTGAAATGTTTTCCTATGGCAAGAGTAAAAGTAGACCGCAGTGGGCAAAATACAGCCTGCGAGCAGGATCCAGCCTGCCAGGCTATTTTTTTTCATCCAGCTCGCAGGTGCCCACCAATTAATTGAACCCCACCCAGCCCGCTTCACTCCCACCCTCCTGCGTGGGAGGGTCCTGGCCCTGGCCGACATGCACAGCTTCTGGGCTGGGCCACTGCTGCCACTGCTGCAGCTGCCAGGGGACCAGCTCAGCTTCCCCAGCCTCCAGCGGCTCCTCCTCGTGTCCCTGCTGCAGTGCTCGCTCTGGGCACCAGGTAGGGAAGCTGCAGCTGGGCGGGAATGCAGAATGTGGGGCTGGGGCTGGCGGGAGTGTGGAGCTCAGGGCCTGTGCCCAGCGGGGTGGCGGGAATGTGGTGCTTGGGTGGGCAAGGTGTTGGTGTGTGGGGTTTGTGGGGTGTGAGGGAGGGTGGGGGTGTGAGGTATGGGGGCCCCTCCCCAATGTCACAGCCTGTGCCACTGGCGGTGGCAGCAGCAGTAGGTAGTGGGCCCTCAGGGTGCTTGTAGCCCATGCAGGCACAGCCAGCAGGTGGTGTCCAGTTCTAGCCAGTTCTGGGAGCTACATGTGGTCGCAAGGAGCAGGGCCAGGTCGGTCTGCCTCTAGTGCATAGGGCTCGTGCAGCTCCTGGGACTCACGTACCACCTGAGGAAAGCCCCAGGCAGTAGAGCCAGCTGCCTTTCCTGTTCCCTGCTGCCTTGTGCAGCTCATGGGACTCCACTGGGAAGCAGGGAGTGGGGCTCCTTGCCACTTCTGGCGGAGTTCTGTGAGCTGCATGTGGCGGCAGGGAGTGGGGAAGGCAGCTGACTCCATCACACAGGACTTCTCCTCTGTGGTGGGCGAATCTCCGGAGCTGCACCTGCGCCCTGTGCAATAGAGGTGGGGTGGCCTGGCTCCACTCCATGCCACCACATGCAGCTCCTGGAACTGCCGGGAGCCATGTGCTGTCAGGCAGCTGCACCACTGTGAGAGCCTGCTGCTGCCACCACTGCTAGAGGCAGGGACTGTGTGCAATGGGGGAGGTGTGTGGGGGCTGGTCCACCAAACCCCCCCCCCACAACCCTCCAACATATATACACACCCACACCCCCAAGATACCCCACACCTCCCACATGCAGCTACACCCCCTCACTAACCCCATATGCACCCACCCACCATACACACATACTCACCCCCCAACCACATCCCACACACTTACCCTCCCCCCCACAGTATATAAGAGTAAGACTTTATTTTTGAGATACTATACAAGTCCCAAGATGGTGACCAGCGGATGGAGCACCTGTCAAGGGTTGGGGGGCTACCATTGTGGCCCTCAACAGTTCACCTAAACTCATTAAGTGGCCCTCCAGCTGAAATAATTGCCCACCCCTGAAGTAGACTCTTATGAGTAAATGCTTGGAGTGTACACTTTGTCTGAATCAACTCCATTTTTTGAAGGGTCCATTTGCAACATTTAAGATGCAATATGATCGAACCTGTGAGTGGACAGGTTTGAAGTTCAGTAATGATGGCAAACTTATCCTCATATCAACCAATGGTGGATTCATTCGACTGATTGATGCCTTCAAAGGAGCTGTACTGCATACATTTGGGGTGAGCATGCTTTGTTCGTTACCTGCTTAGAACTTTTTTGTTGGGTCCTTTGGGATGGTACCATACTGTATTTATTAGCTTGAAAGAGTACAAAATTGGGTTCAGAGGTTTCAGTGCTTCCTTCGCTTGCAATAATTAAGGGTAGCTTCTGCTCTGTGGATGGCATGATGCACCAATTCAGGAGAGAACTGCTGCTGCTATAAAATTGCTGCTAGCTGACCCTCTGATTTTTCTTAATCATACAGTAAAAGCTGTGTTAACTGGCACTTTATGAGCCAGAGAACTCTATTAACCGGCATCCGAGCAACGTGGCAAAAGCGAAACTGGAAGTGCCACTTCCAGGGGACTTCCTGTATCACCGCCACGAGCTGAGTTTTTCTTTGCCACTTTTTCAGCCCAGGGCAGAGCAGCCTGCACGGGGAAAAAGATGCCTGTGCGGGGGCCCCCCTCCCTGTCCCCCGGCACACTGATGCCGGGGAGTGCACCAGACAGTGCACATTTGATTAACCGGAATATTTGATTAACCGGCATCCCCCATTCCCAGGGGATGCCGGATAACAGAGCTTTTACTGTAGTTTGATGTTTCAAAGTTTTGTTCCTCTTCTTTTTTAGATATTACTTGTAATATTTTTAACTTCATTTATATAGATTTCAAATGCCGATAATAAGGGAGAACCAGTTTCATTGGATAGCATGGATTAATAATTGTCCATCCTTAATCCCCACCTCTCAGGCATTTGGAAGGTTTTTTACAGGGCTATCTGAGTGATACTAGCCATGGGAAGGCGTTTACATTTCTTTTTGTGGGGGGAATGTGTTTTCCTGGCACAAAAAGCAAACATTACAGGTGTTCAAGCAACTTGTTGCAGGAAAAAAACTGATGTTTCCACCATAAACTGTTAGCTGTTTCAGACAGCAGCTTCACTGTTTTCTAGCCCAACTGTTTGGTTACATGCCTGTTTAATTACACACAGCAAGATGGGGGGCTTTAGGATCCCCAGTCTCCCACAGTCCTTTCCTTTCCCTCCTTCATTGTGGGGAGTGGTGGCAGTGGCAAACTGCCAGGGAGCCCTAAAGGGGCCTTTTCACTGTGACCGCTTCACAGTCTTGGTTTCCTTTGGGACTGTTCAAAGGGTA